GAGCGTACACATTAATACAATATAGATTGTAATAATACAATATTGAATAATACAATATACATTTTTAATTGGCCAATATGACTAAATAATCATACAAGTACGAAATGATTATATAAAATTATACAATTTGTATCAAGTCTTATTATATAATGTTCAATGAATTTATTAATGCAACGTTCATACACGAACCGTGTATTGTTTATATGTGCATTGTTAATGGAGGAATTTTTTGATCCAATTGGATTGAAATGAAGAAAAAACGAGGAAAATGGAAATGGAACGTGATCACGTTCTTGTAAATAAGATGTAGTTGAGAAAAGATATCTCTTACGAATGACACGTACACCACCCTGCTGACAAGCTGTGCTGCACGAAACCCGGCTATCAACCCCGCTGCTGTTTTTGCTGCCCCACACAAAAACGCTACACTAAGAGTCCCCGAAAGATACATAGAAAACAACGAAAAAAAAAAAAAAAAAAAAAAAAAAAAATCCAGTAGAAGGAACGAACAGATACGACGGGTTTGTTGGGAGGTGTGTGGGCCAGGCGATAAAAATGTCTTTGTCCACTTCCGTTGTCAAATCTGTCTCTTAATTTTCGCAATCGCGCGCGATCGCGATAACGTTAGCATCAAGCACGAGAAGATTGTGTAATTTTCGCAGTCACGGAATGACATGAAGAATTGTTAGCGACGTACTCGCTCTTTCGAGTAATTCGATTCGTTCAATTAAGCAGGAACTAAATTAGAAGATCGTTCCTCCGTAGTTGTCCTTCAACCGATTTTGACCTGGGAATACGTCTCATTTGTTGCCGTTTATTATAGCATTATTATTTCAATTAAAAGGAGAATTATTCGTATCCTTGAAAATTGGGTCGGAGGTTAACGATTTGACTAACGAGTTCACTCCGGTTGATGAACGAATAATTGGTTGGATCAGGATTAATTGCAAACGTGTTTAGTGCAAAGTGCAACTGGACGACGACCGTTCCGAAGTCATTACGTATTTGTAAACAGCGCGGGGTGGACATACCCCGTTTCCTGCAGACTCAATCATCGTGTTTTCAATCCGTGAATTTGTCTCCGGGACACGATCGTGTTCATTATCTGGGGGAAAAAACAGTTGTCGAAAAGTAACGGCTAGAGAAAAATAAAAGCTGGAGTAAAAGAGAGAGAGAAAGAGCGAGAAAGACTTTCAGCGACGTCGCGCGGAAGATCTGCAGCCACACCCGGACACAATGGAGGAAAAGTCTCACATGGATGATTGCGGCAGACCAGCTTGTTGGCAGGGAAGTCTCATTCTCTAAAAGTGGTTTTCAATTTCCCAAGGGTGCATACCGCGTACCGACGGAATCACCTCCGTCCGAATTTGCCTCGGGGGTTACGGACCGACGTGAATCTTTTAGAAAACGAAACACGACCACGATACGGGGGAGGGAATGTTTGTTTTACCAGTTCTCTCAGTTTTATTCCCTTTTTCAGATGGCCCATCGATGGTTCGACGTCTCGTGAGAAAATTTAAACTGCAGGTTTTGTTTCTAGTTTTTAAATTCGATAAAGTTTCCACATATTCCTATGATTTTAACCTACCGGAATTGACGCCAAAATATAAGCTTTCTACAACAAGTCATGTTATCTAAGGTTTAAATCTTGTGCCATAATAAATTGACCAATCACGATCGAATGTGAGAAGAATAATCGACTACGATTGGTTAATTTCTTACAATTTAAGATTTTAATCTTAGCCAATGGCTTATTATAGATGCAACAGTTACTGACGCTACATTGTGAGTTTAATATATGTTAATTAAAAGGCATTAATCGATTTTAAGGGGGCGAAATATAATGAAAATAAATGATTTAATAAGAATAATCCATATTTTTTTAGATGTAATATCGAGAATTAATTTAATTGTTTGAATTTTTCGACAAAGATTTATAATATACGTGGGTTCTATACAATCAGCTCCGAAAGGTTAAAGATCTATGGTATGGAATTAGTAATTCTGAAATTTAAAAAAAGGACATTAGTATTATACGTACGTTAGCTCCGGCTTACTTTTGTTTGTTAAAATTCAACAAGATCGTTTTTATCTCCATAATAAATTACGTGTTAGTATAGAAAAACTCATGATGAAAGGAATGTTTCGTTATCTTGATTGATACAAATTGTTGGTACGCTCGATAGCTCTAAAATTCGTTCGATATGAAATATTTTAATATTATGAGTTTCAATGAAATTTTGTAATCAACCTCGATATATGCTTATACGTCGCCAACGAAGGCCATGTTAAACCGCATCGTCGCGACGTGATGCACTCTTCGGAATTGGTATGCCATACCTGAATGTTTACCAAGTGTACGACACGAAGTTCCCAAGCACGTAAGAGTGCCAGATCTATCACTGAAACCGCATACGACACGCGCGAGCTACACAAGCTCGCGCATTCTCGATCTGTACAAAACAAAATCATTGTCGCACATGTAAATATACACGCGCATGCATACCGTCACACATACACATATATAAACACACACCTTATATACAGACATGTACCAGAAAAACTATCACGACACACCGTTATCCTGTTCCTTAAAGAAGATGCCGACGACAACAGCGAGTTCTTGAATAAGAAGACTTGAACAAGAGAACACCGTACACTTGGATGTTCGCGAGAGATGGTGTAAATTAACTGATAAACTAAATCGATGTCTCTTTCGTAAATTTTTCAGGTATTGTAAAGATAGAAAGACGAGAAGTACGGGTCCTAAAAAAAAAAAGAAAATGACCCTCCTGTTTTGCTTCATTCATAGTCTCTTGCACGCATTTCTCTGTAACTTTTTCCACTTCCTTACTATTTATATATATATATATATATATATATATATATACACTTATATCTTGTACATGAATGTCCACACGCAAATATAGATTATGAGAGGCAGAGACGCAAAACTAATCAACTTCGAGAGAGTGCCTCGATTATTGCAGGTGTTGCAGCAGTCAGAAACGCCAGCCGAAAGCCCGATGTCGATGGACGATGAAGTGGGACCGGTTCTCTTTCGCACTACGCGTCCCTTTATCTACGTGCTTCCCTACGCTCTATGTTCGATTCTGATTTTTCAGTATTATTAAAAATTTGCGCTTTTCTTTTAGTCATCTATATAGATAATGTGCTCGGTCAAATAGATATGTCACTTCTCTGTCTGTCTCTCTCTTTAATGTCGATTAAATAACGAATTAGTGCCAATTAGCCCGCAGATTGACGCTGATGCCAGCTACGTCCGTTGGTCCTATCTAACGTGCTATAATTATTATTATTATCATTATCATTATTATTATTATTATTATCAGCAGCATTATTATATTATTATTGCTATTACTATTAATCGGTGATGTTTACCCTCGCGTCTGTCTCGTAGAAACTTGCCTTCTGCGAGGTGTCGCGTTGCTACATGCATTTCAAAAGAGTTAACGCGGTGGAAGGCCGATAAACGTGGGGAAAAAAGAAAAAAAAAAAAGGAAAAATGCGTTATTATTTAGCTAAAATACGCATGTATTAAGCAAGTCTTAACTTACCCGATCATTAGAAGTCCATCGAGTTTTGATATAAAGCGTGGTTTTATGTACTAAAATGGATATTACAACGATTTATGAAAAAAAGGAAGTGTCTTTTTAAAATTTTCGAGAATAATATAAATGTTTAATCGGACTTTTGATCGTTATTGCCGCGTTTATCGGACGAAGGAGGTTGCGATCGCGCGTCAGATACAAATTCGTTCGCGGAATTCCACACTCGCAGAAGTTTCGACGTTACTCGAATCGCACAAAGATATCTCGGGTCGCGCATAAAAATCTGCATCTAATTTATATTTCTATCCTTGGCTACCTTGGAAATTCGCTCGAACGTGTTTTGCATCAGAAAGACAAGTAGAAAATTAAAGAGAACAACATCCGTAAGCGATTGACGTGACAAATGGGAGCAGTTACGTAATTCGGAGATGCACGCGCGAGTAACTCGAGCGGTGTACATTTATACGCAGTGGATATAACGTGTTGGCGGACGTATCGTCTTACGCGTGATCGCACGAGAGCCGCGCAGAAATATTGTAAATCCCGTGCGCGTATATGCGTGCGGCGCGTGTGTGCGTTACGCGTGTGTTGTCCGTGTGTACGCGCACATTTTCGGCTCACGAAGGACGAGAGAGAGTAGCTTGATAAACGCGTGAACTCGCAGAGCGTGTTACACTTGTTACGCGGACATATATCTACACGCATACGCACACACGTATACACACATACACGCACGCGCCAAGAGTATTGTTGTGTTCTTTCGTTTCTTGTTTTTTTTTTTTTTTTTTTTTTTTACATAAGTCGAAAAAAGAATATTATCGCGAAACTGTCGTTTCTTGCCTTAGCCTCAACTGGTCTGTTTTTCTTTTTTTGATTTTTATCTTGCCCTCTTCCGCCTGACGATGCTTCTACATGCTTGCTGACAATACCTTCGTGCGCTTCGCTACCTGCCAATTAACGCCTGCGAAATATTGCTGACCGAAACTCGGAAAAAAAAAAAAAAAAAAAAACCTGTATCAACGCAAATAATAAAAACCAACGTAAATAATACGCACGATCGACCGATGCCACCGCACGCATGTGCCGAAAATGTACGGAAAAATGTATATGCCACCATCGCTACGACCGCCGCAACGATACACACAACAAAAATATGTATAAATATGCTAACACATGAAAAACGAAAAAATTGTCCCGATTGGGAAATGTCTCGGGAATGCCGAAACGGAAACGGATGTGGTCGACGCACGGCAACGTACGGAAAAAACTGTGTATGCGGCTGTAAAAACCTGAAATCTGTGTGCACGTATAAAAATGTTCAAAAAAAAAAAAAAAAAAAAAA